CGATTTCCAAACCCCAGTCTCTGTTGTTCTTCAACAAGTAGCCAGCACCGGCGTAAATGGCGCCGAAAGTGATACCGGCAGCCAAGGAAGGCACGGATCCCTTACGGGCGTAGCCCATAACGCCGCCGACAAAGCACAAACCGGAAAGTGTTAAAGCTGGGTGTTCCATTTTGGTGGTGGCGAAAGAGACGAGGAGGGATTCGAAATAGGGTGATTCGGTGATCTGTCACGTGACCATGTCCGAAAGGGAAGCGAATTCACGGAAAACAGCGGGGGCGGGTGTTTTGTCGAAAATTGCATCTTCTGAGATTTGTGATTGGAAGAAGGTTGTGGAAAGCCCCAAAAAGCCTAATTAGGTGACCTCTGGGGCACCGGATCAGGCGGTTAATTTAAACAGCGCGTCACGTGACCCACCATCTGGATCCGAGCCGATCCACCCTGGCTCGCCGACTCCTCATACCTCTTGGCCAGTGGCCCTATCTGCCAGACCCCGTACAGCCTGAGGGCGGCGCCCTAACAAAAAAAAAGAACCAAAGTAGACAAGACGGATTTCGACGTTTGTAGAAAACGCCTCTTTTTTTCCTGCGGTTTTCGTTTTCGTTATCACCACTCTGCTACCACCAGCGGGAGCTCACCACCACCAATAAGCTCCGGCACCGCATCACGTGCGGAGCAGCCCAGGGGTCGTCAAAGGAGTCAAAACATGGCATGCTGAATGGATATTTATATATGGGTATAAATAATTAAAGAAATCCCGTCAACCTTGGTTTCTGGAGGGACTCTCACTGCACCTCCACAAGGACGACCACGAGGCAGGGTCCAGCGCAACCACCGCAAGAACGGATATTACAGAAAAATCCCCCATCACCAAGTGAAGCTCGCAAGGATCAGCATATAAATATACAGCACGGCAGCGCCAACCCCACAATGGCCCGAAAATAGGGCCCCTTGTTTCAGCCCCAATAGGATCCTCCTCCTCGCGGCCAGGAAGCCGCAACAAGGCGGGAAGCTCACATTCACGACAGGGCAGAAAAAAAAATTTCGCTGCCACAAAAAAAACATCCCACCTTCGGCACCCCACCATGAACCTTCTGCTGATTCTTCTGGATAACACCCCGCCGCCGGTCCTGCTGTTGGCGCTGGCGCCGACCCAGCACCAGATGAACGTCACCATCCATACGAGAAACGGATCCAGAAATGGCCGCCACGACGCCCTTCCGGCTACAGACTCTGAGTACTTGACCCGCTTCGAAGCCAACGCCAATGCCTTGACCACGCTAGACGAGGCCTTGGTTTACTCGCTGAGAGAACACACGCTTCTTGACGAAAGACGCCGTTTGCAGACGCTCTTGAAGAGAACCGGCGATTACAAGAATGGCTACGCCAACCGCATGACCACAGAGGCGTTGCTTGTTGGGCCCGATACTCCCGAGGTGCCTTCGTCAGCGTACGGATCCACCAGGGTGGGCCCCAACGACGAGGCCCGGGCTGCCAGGCAAAAGGCGTTGGAGACCAACGCAGCACGGTTTTCGAGTGTGGTGACGCCGGAGCCCGAATTGAAGGAGCAGCCGAAAAAGAAGCGTGCCAGCGACGACAATATGCTGGAAAAGCGCCGGAAGCTCGACGACGACAGACCCAAGGGCCGTGAGTCCAAGGAGAACGGGCGCCAGCGGATCAGACAGTCAATGAAGGACGATCCGGACAAAACGCCGTCCCAGGGCCCCGACGACGACAGACTGCTGCCACAGAAGTCCAAGGAGCTCAAGCTGGTGACGAAACAGTACGACAACACGTTTGTGGCCATCTGGAAGGACTTGTCGAGGAAAGACGGACCCAAGGTGCTGCGGTTGATGCAGCAGCTGAACCAGGCCAAACTCATCAATCTCAAGAAAACAGCCATTTTGGCCGCCCGTGAGGCCAAGCGTTGGCAGCTCAAGAACAACAAGAACCAGAAGGACTTGACGTCGAAGGCCAGAAGAGCCATGCGTGAGATGTTCAACTTCTGGAAGCGCAACGACCGTTTGGAGAGAGACCGCCGGAAGAAGGAGGAGAAGGAGTTGGTCGACAAGGCCAAGAAGGAGGAAGAGGAACGTGAGGCCAAGCGCCAGTCCCGTAAGTTGGACTTTTTGATCACCCAGACCGAGTTGTACTCGCACTTTATTGGCAAGAAGATCAAGACCGACGAGATAGAGGGCACGGATGCTGACCCCAACTTGCATAAGGACGAGAACCAGAGAGACTGGGACAAGTACCACGGCGTCAAGGGCGAGGCTGCTGACTTCCGTCTGCTTGACTTTGACCAGGATGACGAGGATGCATTGCACAGAGCTGCTGCTGCAAATGCTCAGAGTGCCTTGGATGTGGCCAAACTGCGTGCCCAGGCTTTCGACGACGATGAGTTCCGTAATCCTGACACCAACGGCGAGGAGATGAACTTCCAGAACCCTACCTTGATTGGTGACATGAGCATCACCCAACCTGACATGTTGAAGTGCACCTTGAAGGAGTACCAGGTCAAGGGTCTCAACTGGTTGGCCAACTTGTACGAGCAAGGCATCAACGGTATTTTGGCCGACGAAATGGGTCTTGGTAAGACCGTCCAGAGTATCTCGGTGCTTGCCTACCTTGCTGAAACTCACAACATCTGGGGTCCCTACCTTGTGGTGACACCAGCCTCCACCTTGCACAACTGGCAACAGGAAATCACCAAGTTCGTGCCGGGCTTCAAGGTGTTGCCCTACTGGGGTAGTGCCAAGGACCGTAAGGTCTTGAGAAAGTTTTGGGACAGAAAGAGCTTGCGTTACGATAAGGATGCTCCTTTCCACGTTCTTGTGACGTCCTACCAATTGGTGGTTGCTGATGCGCCATACTTCCAGAAAATGAAGTGGCAGTACATGATTTTGGATGAAGCCCAGGCGATCAAGTCCTCCTCCTCCTCGAGATGGAAGTCGTTGTTGAGTTTCTCGTGCCGTAACCGTTTACTTTTGACCGGTACGCCCATCCAAAACTCCATGCAAGAGCTTTGGGCCTTGTTGCATTTCATCATGCCGTCGTTGTTCGACTCCCACGACGAGTTCAGCGACTGGTTCTCCAAAGATATCGAGAGCCACGCTCAATCTAACACCCAGCTTAACGAACAACAGCTCAAGCGTTTGCACGTTATTCTCAAACCTTTCATGTTGAGACGTGTGAAGAAGAATGTTCAAAGCGAGTTGGGTGACAAGGTCGAGATCGACCTCTTCTGTGACTTGACCAACAGACAACAGAAATACTACCAGATGTTGAAGTCACAGATTTCTATTATGGACTTGCTTGACGCTTCCAACAGTAACGACGAAAGCACGCAGTCGTTGATGAACTTGGTCATGCAGTTTAGAAAAGTTTGCAACCACCCTGATCTTTTCGAGAGAGCCGACGTGAAGTCGAGCTTCTCTTTCGGGTCATTCGCCGAAACTTCCTCCTTCCTTCGTGAGACCGATTTGGAATTAGCATACACATCTCGAAACTTGATCAACTACGATCTTCCAAAGCTTGTTTATCAAGAGATGCTTTCACCGAACGAAAAGAACGATCTTGGCTCGAAGCGCAAGATATACGAAATGTTCAACATCTACAGCCCCAACAACGTTAAGGACGACGAGTTGGATAACTTCAGCTTTTTGAAGTTTACCGACACTTCACCTCAGGAGTTTTACCAAATGAACAAGGAGGATGTTATCGGAAGAGCCATTTCCAGATCTAGCTATAACGATGACAACTACGAAAAGACGAACAGGTTCAGTTATGCATATGACGAAGACGGGTACATCCCCACAAACAAAAAGCTTCTCATCAGAGAACAAAATGACAAGCTCTGTGACATCAGCAATTCCGTTCACCTCAAGGACCTTTATTCTGTTAAGCAGAAAGTTTACGAGGACATGTACATCAATGTTCTCGAGCCAGCTGCTGATCCAATTGCTGCCGCAGTGCCGGTTGAATTAAATTGCAGCAACATGTCATTCAGTAACAGAAAAGCGGACATCTTGTTCGACCAGAAGATCCGCTCCAGTCTTAACCCAATGTCACTCAACGACGAGCTTGAATTGATCAAGAAGAAGGTGCCTGTTCCAGAATACCCTAAATCTAACATGTTACCTGAACCAGTGAACAAGTTCATCGACTACTCCAACATTCGCATGCCATCAATGAATAGATTCATTACTGAGTCTGGTAAGTTATCCATGCTTGATAAGTTGCTTGACAACCTCAAGAATAACGACCACAGAGTGTTGATCTATTTCCAGATGACGAAAATGATGGACCTTATGGAGGAATACTTGACGTTTAGACAGCACAACTACATTAGATTAGATGGATCGTCCAAATTGGAAGACAGAAGAGACTTGGTGCACGACTGGCAGACCAAGCCAGAGATTTTTGTCTTTTTGCTTTCTACCAGAGCAGGTGGTTTGGGTATCAACTTGACTGCTGCAGACACTGTCGTTTTCTACGACTCTGACTGGAATCCTACAATCGACTCTCAGGCCATGGACAGAGCACATAGACTTGGTCAAACGAAGCAGGTGACGGTTTATAGACTTTTGACCAAGAACACTATCGAAGAGAGAATGAGAGACCGTGCCAAACAAAAAGAGCAAGTGCAACAGGTTGTCATGGAAGGAAAGGCTTCGGCTGGTAAGAAGAAGGAAGATGCCGCTAACAAGAAGAAGGATGTTGCATTCCTTCTTTTGGGTGGCGATGACAATTCAAACGACACGCCGACTTCCAACTCCACCGCTGGAGGTACAAGTTCGAATACTGGCGATTCAACACCTTCAGTGGAACCCATGAGTAAAACCCTCGAGGCCATGTATCACGAGGGAGAAGGCCTGTTTTCAGGAACGATCACACCACAGACACAGGTCTAAGGCTACACTTCATTAGATTTACAATATGGAGTCATGAATAAATTAATGTATTATGTCATAAGATGAGTTAACTCGTATATAATGGGTGTGTTAATTAGTAGGGGTGTTCAGATTTAGCGTTTTCTCCAAATCAGCCATGAAAGACGGGTCCACCGTTCGGTTCGATCGTGTACCCAGGTCTAGAAACTCATCGCTTTCTTTCAGCTCACCAGGAGCTTCTAGCAGCCCCATATGCTTGAGCTCATTGTTCTCGTTTTCCAAACTGTAAATTCTTGTAAAACTCTCTTCTAGTTTCTTCTTTAGTTCTTCCTTTGATATCCCCAGTGGCACCGGGCCACTGAGTAGACTCGTTTTCGATATCTCCCCTTCGTCTTCGTCACCGGTTGTAGATGCAATTAAATCTGTGATGCCCGATATGTTCGAGTTGAGAGAGTTCACAGAAAACCTCCCAATGGACTGTCGAACACTTCTTCGTCGTGTGAGAGCGTCCAATGCTGCTTGATTGAATGCTTCATAATTAGCGGGCGGCGAAGTGGCTCCGGTTCCATCTCCGTGGGACAGAAGGTCCCCCTTCAGCTCCCTTGGAGATTGCACAGAGCTGCTATCCTTGTTGTTTGGCTCTTCGAATACTGTGAGTAGTCCTAGCTGCAATCCAGTAGAGAGTCGTTTATACCTCTTTTCCAGAGAGCCATTCTTAGAGGAGCCTGACTTGCTTTCGATGCGGTTCAAGTCTCCGTTGGACGGTATGGAGTACCGCTTCTTCATAGAACCTGATGAGCCCGTTTGGAAAGCCTTTGGATTGAAATGCTCATTGCTGTTCAACGAATTGCGTTGCGATGTTGATGTGCTCGATGTTTGTGATTGTGGTCTGAACTTGCGATTGAATTCACCTTCGTAGTCGCTTCTGCAGACATTGTATAGATCGATACAACCTCGAAGCTCACTTTGAAACAGAGCAAATATAGACATCTTTTCGTCATATTCCTCTGAATCATTGACTTCTGCGATAGCCTGACTGTACTTCTTGAAGTACAGCAAACTCGTTGTGACATTGGTCAACTTGTTGATCAAATTTCGAAGGTTTAGCTCAGAATCCATCAAAAAGAGCTCATCGTCTCTGCGCTCGGGGGTCTTGCCCCTGGAGAGAACATCATCGTTTGCGTAATCAGTTGATGCGGTAGTCTTGCTCAATGCCTTGAATTTCTCGTTTAGCGAGAGGAGTTGGTCTAGAGTTTTCGTATGCTCCTCAAAAATGTGCTCAAGTTTCGTAAGTCTTTCGGAGATATTAAGCTGGAAGACCTCAGCGTCATCGATGTGAAAAGCGTCGTAGAGCTTGAGCATGAAGAAGTTTCGTAGAGGAGAATCGTGGATGGTAAGAAGCTGGCAGATGAAGAAGCGCCGAAGGTTATTGAAAGCATTGAGCTTTTCCTTGAGACTCTCCAAGGTGAGCTGCTCTTCTGGGTTTTCCACTATCTCCTCGAAGACATGGGCCAATTGGATATTATTGATTTCACAGTACTGCTCAAGAAGCTGGCCATTGCACATGGGCAACAAGGTACTGACGGAGTGACGGATATTCAACGAAAGACAGTTTAAAAGCATGTTGAGGTGATTTTTTAGTTCATCAGAATATTTTGTTGTCAGGTCGTTGTTGGAACTTTTGTTCATGAAGGCGAACATCTCAAACTCTTTCAAAGATATCATGCTGGTGATCAAGGCCTTGTTCACCTTGCAGTTGGAGATCATGAAGTCATCTAGGCTACGCAAGCTCCTGGATGCTGTAAGCGTGGTTTTGGCTCTTTTGCACTTGACGAGCTTGGTGGCCATAATGAGTAACATCTTGAACATGGTGATTCTGCCAGCATGTGAAATATTCGAGCGGATGTGGAAGTTCTGTTTCAACAAAAAGATAATGAGTGAAAGGATATTAAGCAAAAGGAGTGGACTGCTGTAAGCGGGCGGGAACGAAAGACGGTATTGTTTGTTGGTGATCTCCAAAACGGTGCCATCGAACGAGAATTCCTTGGCCAACTTGACGTGCAACGTTGAGTCAACCTCATTACGGATCTGGACAAGATTATTAAGCGCCTGCTCGTTTTTCGAGAGCACCATCGAGGCGTCTAGGAGGTTCAGCACCACCAAGTTGTACTTGAACCTCTCAACCACCGCAGTATCTTTGTGCTCGAGACTAAGGTACTTCTTGATGAACTTGTGGAAGTTGGCTGTCGTAGACGGTAGCGTCTTTCGAACACTGGCACAATACGACGAGGTTGCAAAAGACGGAGTTTTCACAGAGTACTCTCGGTACCGCTGCTGATGGCTGTATTCGGAAGTAGATGTCGAATTGAACCTGGGCCGAGGTGGAGCTATAGGCTCCTCGATACCCCAGTCGGCCTCTGCGGGCAGGTAGTTGGATAGTAGGTTCAACTTGCCGAGGCCGAATTTCTCGAAGTTCATGTTCTGGTAGGATCTGTGGTCATGGACTGAATGGGTTGATAACCGAGGATGAGGGGACAGATTTTTGGCTCGAGGAAGGCTCGCTATCGAATAAGGTTTATCGTCTGCAGCCTAGATCCGTTAGACAGGGATATTTTTTTAACGAGCGTGAGGTCTTTAGGCTCGGATCGATGTGTGTTTTGATTATGCGATTTCTGTACAAGCAGGTGAAAACCCCCATGGGGTCGCACCAGAATGGTCTGAGGCAGAAACACCTAAAGAGCTGTTTTAGCACGATAAGCGTAGGGAGGGAATGTAAACAGATCAGATGTGGTAGCCACTTCTTTTTATGTACATATTCGTGAGACTATTTAAGCATACTGGTCATGTCGAACCCGTTGAGGTCCATGTTGAGGTCTGCTCCCAAGAAGTTCATGCCAAAGTCATTGTCCATGAGTCCATCGGGTTGTCCGTTGAGGGAGTCGCCGTTCATTCCGGGCATAAGGGGCGGCGGCTGCAGGGCAAAGTTCGTCAGGTTGGGTTCCAGGTTCGGTTTCAGGTTAGGATCTGAGTTAGGCCCCAGGCTGGGTGCCAGCGGCGGCGCCAGAGGTACCAGTTGCACATTCGTAGACATGTAGTTGTCGCCCATGGGCATGCCCATTCCTTGGTTCGGCTGCACGGGCGGCTGATTAGGCTGGTTCTGCTGGTTTGGCTGGCTTTGCTGAGTCTGGCTCTGGTTCGGAGTCTGCTGATTCTGCTGTATGGGCCCGACCTGCTGGGGCTTGTTCTGTGGTGTCTGAGCCACGGGTTTCCTGTTGTTTCGGGCCTGGGCCTGTGGGGCTCGGGCCATCTGCTGCTGGGAAACGGCTGCCCTCTGCTGGGGCTGTAGCTGGGGCCGCTGCATGGCGATATTGGCCAGATTGTGTCTTTTAGCCGGCGGCTGGCCCCGTCCAACGGTAAGTGGAACCTGTCCAGGCACCATGATAGCCAGACTCTCCAGGCCAGCTTGAGAGCCCGGCGCAGCACCTGGGGTAGGAGCACCCACCGGGGCCAGAGCAGGGGCGTTCTTCGGAGGTTTGCGTTCGACCTTTTTCTGTTTGGGCTTTGCGGCAGTTTGGGGCGTTGCTCCTGGCGTTTGCATTAGCATCTGGCCATACTGGGGCGGTTGCTGAGGAGCCGCCTGCGGAATTTGGCCCGTCTGACTCGGGTCAAACCGATTCGGAGGCATGGGCGGCGGCATCAGCGACGGCGGGCTCTTCAGCGAGTTGTGGATGCTCCATAGTAGGCACCACCACTCGTACAAGTATGCATCGTTGAAGGCCCCCTCGCTGTTGAAGTGGACCTTGGCTTCTTCGACAAGCATCGAGGCGCTCTGGCTGCAGCCCAGCTGGACCAAGTACTGGTGGAGCATGGCAAAGAAGGTTTCTTGTGGGGACTCGTTGCCCCTGGAGAAATCGAACGAGTCCATGGTGGACTGAGTCTGAAGCGGACTAGGCTAATGAGGGAGAGGGGGATGTCAGCACGACTCTTTTTGTTAACGGATGTCAGTGACGTTTCTTTTCTGCTGGTTTGTGGAAATTAGGTCTGCCCTCTGGCTCTGCTTCTGCTCTCGAGTAGTACTTCTCTGATACCGTTTTTTTTTTTTTTTTTGTCTCAGATAATGGGTCCAACCCGCACAGTCGACAGGATAGGGTAGCGATTAGGCAGGGCAGATTCGCTTGCGTACACGGCTGCAGCGGCTGCAAGTGAAGTGAAGAAGTAGAACAGGAGAAAAGGATGGGAAAAAAAATGGGAAAATGGCGGGTGTATTCTGGTGAAAAAAGCTGGATCCCCGGCTCTTTTGCCACTTGTTGCTCCACGACGCTGGATATTTGTCTGGGCGTTATGTGGAGCCTCATTGGTCAAGACGGGGAGCTGAAGGCGGGCGACAAGGCATGATTTTGGGAATTTTCAAAGGCAGGCGGGCAGATGGATGAGGTTGAATTTGTGTTCTCGAGGTTCGGCCTTTTTTACAAATTACACAGAGATTTGGCCCCGTTGCTAGGTGGTGCTCTGCTCGTGATCGGACTTCACCGCAAGTAACAATCATCGACGTCGAGGCCTCTACATAACTCAGGGCTGTCCGTGTAGGACCTGAGGCTGAGGAGTATGAAGGTGCTGGTGAAAGTGGTCTTCAATATGTAAATTAAAAGGTGATTACATGCTTCTACCGTATCTCGTCTCTGGGCATTGGCTATGTATAGTGTTCATGGTGGAACACGCTGACCATGTCGGCACCTTCAAAGTAGATTCCGTGCAAGTTCAAGCTGGTCAAGTTCTCGAAAATGCCATTGAAATACCGCCTCATCGGCTGGAGCTGGTGCGCTATGTACGTCTTCAAGGCCTGCTCGGAAACGGTGCAGCTGCTGAAATGTTCGGCGATCCAGTCGCTCGAGTCTGCTTTCAAGAGCGACAGGGTATAGTGGGTATTTTTGCCCAAGCTGACGAGCTTTTCGCTCTGGAGCTTGAAAAGTATGGCGTACATCACGAGGTAGAGCGCCTGGCTCTCGTCCACGTCTGGGTCCTCCTGGGCGATTTCGGGGTGGACCTTCAGCGACAATTCCTCGAGTACTTCGTTACATCCGTGGCAAGGACAGCTCTGCAACATGGAGCCACGGAACTCGGATTTATAGTATGCAAAAGATGCAAGAAAGTCGGGGATCTCGAGCCTTGTGAGTGTTCTTCCAAAGTCTGGTTTTTCAAACATCGAGAGGAAGAAGGCATCCGCAAGGCGGCGGTTGATCTTGTTGGCGTCCGAGATGGACGGCTCGTTGTCGCCCGTCATCTTGAGACAAGGAGTGGCGAAATCAAGCTTCAATGCTTCCAAGCCGGTGAGCTGTTTAAGGAATGCGCTCAATGGCTCTAGCTTGAGCTCGAGCATTTCTACTGGACGGAGCCAATCGTCCTGGGGGAAGGCTTCGATTTCGACAGCTTTCAATTGTGGCAATCCGCCGTTTTCGGCTGCAAATGAAGCAAGACAGTCGAAGAACTTGCTGTAGCACGCACACCCGAGCTGATGGCAGTCCACATGGAGTCTAAGCTTGGAAAGCTGGGAAATGTCTATGGAGCTGGCGATGCTGGAGAAGTCTAGGGGGGCGGCATCGTCATGCAAATGCGAGATCGAAAGAGAAGCTAGCTGGAGCTTTTCTTCCGGGTCCATGTGAGAGAGCACCTCGAGGCCTTGTTGATCCTGTGAAGCGCAGCTCAAATGCTGGAGTACAGACGACGACGGGATCGGCACCCTCGTGGTCGTCTTGGCAGCCTGGACGTCTATGGTGGAAAAATGGGAAACGGCCTGGTTGAGCTGATCCACTGAGTTGACGACGGTATGGGTCAAACGGTCCCCAGTGGCCGGAACAGGCGGATCCATGCGGAAAGTCCTCAAATCCAGGTTCTTCAAGGCCTTGACAAAACGACCCTGAAGTTCCGTGTCATCCACGGCCTCAAACGTAAAGTGCTTCACTAGCCCGGCGTTCTTTTCCAAAGCCTGGAGCAACCTCTCACAGCTCGTGTGATCCAGAACGATCGAACCGTTCTGACCTCCGGAAACGCCCCGGATCAAAGCAGAGTCAGAAACCCCAAGCGGGCGTGTCGCTCCATCAACAACCGTCACCTTCTGATACAAGGCCTCCAAGGCTATTGGGTGCAAAAAGCGGCTGGTAGAAGCCAAGGAAGCCAAATCCTGCTGTGGTAGCAACAGGCAGATATGTGCTAAGATGGGCGCTGGAAGGGAATCCATCGAAGCCTAGCTGGAGAAGAAGGAAAAAAAAGGGGGACGCAACATGGAGATTTTTCATTTTCTACAGCCGTGCACTGGGCCATGGATAGGGGTCTGGTCTTGGAAAGGTGCACGGGTGTGACATGTGGAGCTGCTTCTCGCAGGGTGCCCCACTCCTATATACCTGCATCATTTTGCAGCCAGTGAAGCTTGGACTTTTTTCTTCTCTGCTTACAACCGGGTGCCAATGTTCACGTGGATGGCCTTGGCCTGGGTGTAAGTGGTGAGGCCGTACTCGCCCAACTCACGACCGTTACCACTCAGCTTCACACCACCAAATGGAACGTGCATGTCGGTGTCGTTCGACGAGTTGATCCACACCATACCACTCTGGATGTCCGAGGCCATCTGGTGAGCCTTGACAAGGTTGGTGGTGAAAACGGCGGCACCCAATCCGTACTCGGTGGAGTTGGCCATCTCGATGGCCTCCTCGTCGGTGGAGTACTTGATCACAGTGACCACTGGTCCGAAGATCTCCTCACGAGCAACTCTGTAGGTCTGCTGAACCTCGGTAAGAACAGTAGGCTGGATAAAGAAACCCTTGCCGGCAGCGGTGTTGGCCTCACCACCCAAGGCGACCTTGGCGCCCTCGTCTTTACCGACCTTGATGTAGCTCAAGACCTTCTCGTACTGGCCTTGGGAAACCTGGGGACCAACAACGGCCTGGTCGTTGAAAACGTCACCCTGCTTGTAGTCGGACTTGATGTGGGCCACAAACTCCTTGACAAACTTGTCGTGGATCTTCTCGTGGACCAAGATTCTCGATGTGGCAGAACAGATCTGGCCCTGGTTGGACATGATACCAATGGCAGCCCACTTGACGGCCTGGTCCAATTCGGCGTCCTCTCTGATGATCAAAGGCGACTTTCCGCCCAATTCCGTCGTGACGGCCTTCATGTTGGAGGTGGCCAATTCAGACACAATCTTACCGGTAGCGGTAGAACCAGTGAAGGCGACCTTGTCGACGTCCTGGTGGCTAGCCAAGGCCGAACCGGCCGTGGCACCGTAACCAGAAATAATGTTTACCACACCAGGAGGGAAACCAGCCTCCTTGAAGTACTTAGCCACGAACAAGAGCGACAATGGGGTAATCTCGGAAGTTTTCAAAACCACAACGTTACCGGCAGCAAGGGCTGGAGCCAACTTCCAGGCAGCCATAAGCAAGGGGTAGTTCCAAGGAATGATCTGGCCACAGACGCCAAATGGCTCGTGAACGGTGTAGGCGAGTTTTCTGGGGTCGTTCTGGATAACCTTACCGGTGATCTTGTCGGCCCAACCAGCGTAGTACTTGAAAAGGCTGACGAACTCGGCAACGTCAAACTTGGCATTCTGCTCCTTGGTCTTACCAGAGTCCCAGGCCTCGAGGGTGTTGATCAACTCAATGTCCTTCTCCACCAATTGAGCAAACTTGTACAACAAGTCTCCTCTCTGGACACCAGTGTACTTCTTCCACTCACGGAATGCGTTTTTGGCAGCTCTGACGGCATCATCCACATCCTCCTTCTCAGCAGCATAGACGGAACCATTGATCTCGCCAGTGGATGGGTTGATGGACTCAATGATCTTACCCTTCTCAGACTTGACATATTCATTGTTGATGAACAAACCAGAAGGCTGCTTGTACTTTTGCCCGTCGGGCAAGGTGACTTCGTATTCCAATGGAAGAGACATTTTTGGATATCAGGATGAGGTGTGGTGTCGATTCCGGGGGCTTTATAGTCCACGATAAGACAGCGCCAAGCGCGACCCTTTTGGGTAAGTCCTTGCGAATGCACCCGTTGGGGCTCCAAATATTCCACAAAACGGCGGTTGAAGAAGTGTTCAAAATCTACCGAGCTGTTCTTTTGCTGTCGAATCATTGCAATATGGGAGATTTTGGGAAAAATGCTGTGAATTGATAGTGGATAATAGCGGACTTTTTCAGCTGGAGGGCATACAATGCACGCTGAGGGAAGGTTTAGCCTGCGTTTTGGAAAGTTAAGCCCAATGCCTTAATTGTGGAGAATTACATCATTGAGCTAGTTGCTGCAGAATAGGAAGGGTTGGGCTATATTGTGGGTGGCTCTAATGGTGCGGCTTATCTACGTATCAAAGTACTGATATAAGGTTGAACTGAATGATGAATTTTAGTATCGACTTGTATCTTTAAGTGGAATATTAATGGAATTGCCGAGACCATTAGCTCTAGGTAATTGCGCTTATGCGTGAATCCGAAGCCTGTTCTTATCGGCACTGCGACAGATGACCCTTCTAAACCCCTGAAAGTAGGCATTCTTCAATATCCGCTAGAAACCCCTGAGATTTTGTCAACTCTAGATTCCTGCAAGGCTTATGTCGGCAACGGTTTCTGCCCCCCATGAATATTATTTCACCGCATTCCGTTGCATGTAATTCCGGACCTGTCACCGCACTTTGACAGGTCCATCAATCCACCTCAATTTTCAAATCTTTAATATTTCAATTCGATTAAACCCAACTCCTCAAAGCCTTGCCAAGGGACTTTTTGCTGATCTCCTTTGACCCCTGGTATTCCCCACCGGAAAATCGAAGTCTATTTAGTGCCTCCTTCACATAGGTCTTGATTCCGCTTCCTCCACACCAGAACCACTCTTTTCCATGTCTGTTGATCTCTCCAACTTCAACAATACTCC